CTCATCTCTACAATAAATCAAAAAATTAGCCGGGCGTGGTAGCGCGTGCCTGTAGTTCCAGCTACTTGGAAGGCTGAGACGGAAGGATCACCAGCGCCCAGCAGGCGAGGCTGCGGTGCCGGGAGCGGCCACTGCACTCCAGTCTGGGTAACAGAGTGAGACTCCAACTCAAAAAAAAAAAAAAAGAAAGAAAAAAAGAAATGAGTAAGACTGGGGAAAAAGAGAAGATGTGGATGAATACCTGTTGACATTCCTATGGCAAAATGTCACACAGTATTTCCCTCACGGTGGGAGGGGCAGTGTAGCCATCAGAAGAAGAGTGAGACAGGTGACTGGCCAGCTCCAGGAGCTCCCAGCGACTCTCAGAAGTGAGTCAGGTGCACCTGATGGGGAGACAAACGTAGCACTCTGAAGGGACTTGCCAATGGCCACAATCTGGCGTGTGCCACTCCTGTCGCCAGGGGCCCATGTCCCTTGCTGCAACCAGTACCTGGTGGCCAGGACTGTTGTCACGGCAGCAGATACAGGACTGTCTGTGTCCTGTGGCCACCGTGCTGATGGCTGCAGTCATCACATGGCTGGCCTGGGCATCTTCCCCAGCTCCTGTCCCTTGCCTTGACATTTGTCTAGCGCCTTCTCTGTTCCCAGCCCTGGAAGTACAGACAAAGCCAGGCCCCATCCTCTGGGACAGGTACCTAGCAAGATCTGGGAGAGAAGGCGGGATGGTTTGTCCTGCAGGAGATGCTCGGGGGCAGGAGGACTAGACACAGCCCTGCTCTCAACAGGGGAAGAGCTGTCATGGGGAGTGGCCTCACTCATCAGTCCATGAAGCTGGAGCGCCGCCTGTGGCATCAGCACACCTGAGTAAGAGGAGAGGCGAGGAGGAGAGGTCGGTGGCCAAGGCCTGCTGGTGGACTCCTGCCTCTGCTGCCAGGATCCACCTTGGCACAGAGCTCTCCGACTCCTGAGTGATTTATTCAGCAATACTTACTAGGGACTCGTGGGTGCCAGTCACAGTCCTAGGTCCTGAGGATGCAGCAGTAAACAAAACAGATGGAAAGTCCTTCCCCCACGGACCCTCACTTTCCACAGTGGAGACAGACAGTGGTCGAGGGCAGGCAGAAAACCCCAGTACCAGTATGTGGCACAGTGATGCCTGTGGGGAGAAAGCCAGTACGGGGAAGGCAGTGCTGTAGGGATCCGTGCAGGAACCATGTGGCCAGGGAGGCCTCACTGAGTAAGGCTTGGAATGATGGAGGAACCACCCCAGCTCATGGAGAAAGAGCCAAACTGCCAGCGCAAAGTCCTAGGCGGGAATGATTGGCATGTCCCAGGCGTAGCAGGGAGGCTGGTGTGGCAGGTCCCAATGGGCAGCTTGGACATGGGAGATAAGCTGAGAGAAGAGTGACTGCAAAGGCCATCGGGGTTGGACAGAAGGGAGTCCTTGCTGAGTGAGAGCGAGAGCGTGAGTCTCCTGCCGAGGGCGAGGGGCACCCTGGTCCGGGTGAGGAGTGGGGCTGTGAGTCTCCTGCCGAGGGTGAGGGGCACCCTGGCCCCCGTGAGGAGTAGCGGGAGATCCCTTCGGCAGCTATGCTCCCCGTCCCTCACATGGAGCTGGTGGAAGTCGTGGCTTCCAGGTCCTGCAAGCACAGCCTGCAGGATTTGCCAAAGGATCTGAGAGGTAGAAAGAGAAGTCCGAGCTCTCTGCAGGTGTTGTGGCCCAAATGACTGAAGACAGGACGTGGGAGCTGGGTGAGGAGACTGAACAGCTGCAGACTTGAGAGGGAGAGCTATGGGATCGCCTGTATGTGGGGTTTACGGTACAGTTGGAAATCCGAGCAGAGAGAGGTCCCGGCTGAAGGGGACAGCTACTGAGTCCTCCGCAAAGAGGCGCCTGGGCTCCGCTGGGCGGGTGCAGTCCTGGAGGGGCAGCCGCAGCATGTCCAAGGGAGCGTGTGAGATGGTGTGATGGGCTGTGTCTCAGGCCCCTGGGAATCCGTGCGAAGCGTTGGTGGTGGAAAGTGGCAAGATCCATTTCCGTGGAGTGGTCGGTGGGGGGCTCACACAAGTGGGGACAAAGCAGCGATCCCTCTGCCAATCGGTGACCATTTCTTGGCCTTCCCGCTGAGATCAAGTATAAGCTCTGTACCTGTCATTTTAAAACGTTTGGTTACTTGCTGACACAAAACCTAGAAACGTGCTTTCAGGATCAAAATGCGCCTGCAGAGACTCGCTCACAGGGCAGCCTTCACCCTGACCTTTCTGTTCTTTTGTCGTAGGTAAAGGAAAGCAATGCTGTGACACCCAAGAGTCAGGGTACGTAGCTGCACATCTCGGGAGCCGCTTCTGTCCAGACACGAGTCTGTTGACACCTGCCTCTCAGATGGGGAGAGCTGGTGCGAAACGTCATGACTCGCAGAATACTCTTAAAGAGCAGCTCGCATTAGACTGATGACTAAAGTGTTGTAAACAATTTCTACAAAAAGACATGTAACTTTTCTCTTCATCTCTTCAGACCCTCAAGGAAGGAAAGCAGCCCCTCCTGCCGCCCCAGAAATCCCAGATAGCCATTATTTAGACAAGTGAGTGCCATGTCTCTACCCTGTGTGTGATGACCAAAAAGACTAACCATAGAGAAATACTGGAAAAGAAATACACTCTCCCTAGTTCATTAGTGATTTGGTAAATTAGTTGGCTCTTTTCAGCAATTTTAAAATCTGGGGAAATTGCCTGAGAAGCAGATCAGTATTAACTCTAAGTCAAGATAATTTCTCTCTCTACCTCAGCAGAAGTTGCCAGCCTGTTTGCTGTTGCAGGCACAAAATGCATAACAACAAGATATTTTTTACTATACAGTGGCCAAGACCAGCCTCCAAAGAACTGAAGTGTAAGGTCTTCGTTTCCTGTGACTCAGATGTCCATTCTGGTTGACTGTGCTAGGTTAGAACTGAAAGGCTCTGAGGCTGATTTATTTCCCACACCTACTTGGTGAAGACTCTTTGTCAGATACCCCGTCCGTTCTTTGCTGCCCTCCCTCCAGGGGGGCCAGCCAGGACCACGCAGAGCAAACTGAGGCCGTCCAAGATGGGGCGGTAAACCTGGCTGGGATCGGGGAAGTCATGAATGTTGCATGATGTGGGAGCAGTATGGCCTTCGCTGACCTGGGCTCGGCCATTACCCACTGCTCTGTTTCCTTGTAGCTTGTGTATCTTTTGTGGAGAGAGGAGCGACTCCTTCACAGAGGAAGGCCTGGACCTCCACTACTGGAAGCACTGTCTCATGCTGACAAGATGTGCCCACTGCAGACAGGTCAGGCCGAGGGTCCCCTGCCCCTACCGTCACATGAGCCAGACACCCGGCTATTGCAGACCGGTCCCAAGACATCCCAAGTCTGTCACTTCCCAGGGAAAGGTTGTGAGAAAAGTAACTAGCATGTAACACACACCTATAAACGTGCAAGTGGTCGAGTGTTACAACCGAGTGACCCTCACCCAGTAGACACACTGTGTCACCACTATCCGGGTCCCCTCCCAAGGCCAACCCTGGCCTGGTCCTAGGCACCTCTGTGTGCTTCTCACTCACTGAGCTTTACAGAAATGGAATCCTATGGTCTGAGGTCACTCTGTGTCGTGCGTGACTCCTGGCTTTGAGGTATCCACTGTTTAATAGCCCAGTTTATGCACCCACCTACTGTGGGCGGGCAGGCATGTCCAGTTTTGGACTCTTGTGGGTGACCTGCCACAGACATTCTGGATACACCGGGTCACTTCTAGTCATAGGGTGGCTGGGCGTGCATATTTCCCATGGAGCCGATGCTCAGGCATGCCCAGAGGGCTGTGCCCATGTACTCTGCCAGCATGCCCCACCAGTGGCACATGAGAGTGCCCACAGCCCCTGCTCCTGCACTGAGCTGGTGTGCCTGTCCCTGGTGACGATGCAGGGGCGCAACATCTGTTTGCCTGTAGGCCACTGGCTGTCCTCTGTAAAGACCTCTAGTCTCTTGCCTGTTTCCTTGGGTCATCCGTCCTTTCCACTGATGTGTGGTCATTCTTTATGGCCCTGGGGCCAAGCCCTCTGTTGGTCACATGTGCTGTGACCATCCTCTGCCTTCTGTATCTTGCATCTTCGTTGTCTTAATGGGCCTTTTTATGGACACAAGTTTTCAATTTTAGCATTGTCCACTTACCAATTTTGTAAATTGCTATTACCTGGTGAGAATACCTCACCAGTCTCCTTTATGGTCTGTGCTTTCTGCATCCTGTTAGGAAATCTTCCCCACCCAGATCTCTCATTTCTTCTCTGCTGCAGTGGGCCTTCCTTTTAAGGAAGTGGGAAAACAGGAAGGAGAAGAACTGCTGTGTGCACTTGGGACCTTTCCAGCTTACAAGGAAGAGCTGGAGTAGGCTGATTCCACCCTTTGAGCTTGCAGTATGGACTCTCAAGTCCCATGTGCATGATGGGCTTTCCCTTCAGTGTGTAGAGCCCCCAGCATGAGTTACAGGGGGCATGTAAGTCATTCCCACCAAAGATGCCAACATGGCAAGAGATTCTCTTAACCTACTTTTTTGTGATCCTGTTTCTATACACATTAGAAATAGTGGGGTCCAGGTGTGATAATTCATGCCTATAATCCCAGCACTTTGGGAGGCCAAGGCAAGAGGATTTCTTGAGCCCAGGAGTTCAAGACCAGCTTGGGCAATGTAGTGAGACCTCGTCTCTACAAAAAACTAACCAGGCACTAGCACCTGTAGTCCCAGCTGCTCAGGAGGCTGACGTGGAAGGATTTTCTGAACCCAGGAGGTTGAGGCTGTGGTGAGTCATGATCCTGCCACTGCACTCCAACCTGGGCAACAGTGAGACCCCAACTCCAAAAAATACCAAAAAAAAGGTAGGGAGCTGGGATTTGAACCCAGGGCCGCATTTGACCACAGAGCTGCTCCCTAGTGCAAGGATCCCATTCACACCGACTGTAGTGTCCCCCACCCCTGCCCCGTAGCAGTGACCTTTACATGTTGCCAAGATGATAAGAAAAGGACGTGGGTCTCCGGCCCCATCGATGTGTGACTCCAGACGCCCTACGGCACATGCCAAAGAGGAAAGGCCAGGGCCTGCTTCACGGGCCAGCGGCACAGACAGGCTGCACTGGGCTTCCTAGGCGTAGGGCTGGTGCACAGATGATGCAGGCTGCTGTGATGGGACCCTTGGCAGCGGCTCAGCATGCTATGCTCTGTGTTTTGAAATCCAGGTGGTCGAGATATCCAGCCTGACAGAGCACCTGCTGACAGAATGTGACCAGAGGGACAGGTTTGGAAAGTGTTACCGCTGCAGCGAGGCTGTTCTGAAGGAAGAGCTGCCCGGGCACATCAAAGCCAAGGACTGTAACCGTGAGTGTCCCAGACCCCTGTGCCCCTGCTCCCCGGGTGTCTTCCCGGAGAAAGGACCGCTGCTGGCAGACGTCCGCAAGGACATGGTGTGATCCAAGGGTGCCTGGCAGGGGGCCGGCGACATTCAAGTTTCGTGGGGTGACTGCATCTTTTTCATCACTTCAGCTGCCAAACCGGAAAAGCTGGCAAACCGATGTCCTCTGTGCCATGAGAACTTCACACCCGGAGAAGAGGTGAGGAGCCTCGCTCGGGAAGGAACTGATGTGGGAGTAGTCGACACACCTCTAGGTGACGGTGATGGGGGTGACGGTGATGATGGTGGTGATGACAATGGTGACGATGGTGTTGTTAATGCTGGATCGCAGCCACAGTGGCGCATGGGTGTGTCGGGGGGTAGAAGGCATCTGTCTAGTCCCGCCTGAGCACCTACTCTAGCTCCCTGCTTGCTCGCCTGTGTTCCTTCTGCATAGAGACGGTTTATCCGAGGAGCCTCACCTTGTTGGGGTATCAGCACAAGATGGTCTTATTTTGTCTGGCCATCACTCCGTCTAGATACCAAGGCCCTGAGTGGCATCTTGGCCAGACTCTGCAACAGGCGGCTCCCGTTTGGTTACAGACCCAGCCCGGGTTCCCGCCCCCAGTGCTTGTGGCTCCATGAGCTCGGTGGGGAGGGGCAGGTTCTTCTGAGCTGCTCCCTTCCTCACTCACTCGGCTCCTCTGGCCTTGGAGGCAACACAGAGAGTCTGAGGCTCTGTATCGATGACTCTGCCTGCCATGCGGGTTGGCGGCTCCCTCTTTGTGATGTGGAGGGTCTGCTCAGGGCCCAGTTCTGGAGACCCGCATGTGGCTCAGCCATGCCCACTCCTACTGCTACCTCCGTCCACGCACTGTGTCCTGCCACCGGCTCTCCTTGTCCCAGACTTCTGGGATGTGGTGCCAGCAAGATGGCTCAGATTCTGTAGCCTTTTGCAGCTTCCTCTCGGCTGCGGAAAACTCACAGGCCAATCAGGGAAGTCAGGCCGCCCTTCGGCTGTGCCTTGGCCTGTGTCTCTTGCCCTGCTATCCAGGTCTTGTTCTCTCTCTCCCTCCTTCCCTCCCTCCCTCTCTCCCTCTTTCTCTCTCTCTCTCTCTCTCTCTCCCCACCTCCCCCTCCTTCCCTCCCTTCCTCTCTTCTTCTCTCTGCCTCCCTCTCCCCCTCTTTTCCTTTAGCTCCCCCTTTCCCTGTCTCTCTCTCCCTTTCTCTCTCTCTCTCTCCCCACCCCCTTCTCTCCATCTCCCCTCTCTCTGAAAAGCTCAAATGCATCACATAGTACGCAGAAGAATAAGAGGGCCCCTCAGGTACTTTCCTGCTGGGGCCACCCAGCTTGAGTGACATCAGCTCGCCCGTAGTCTGTTCCCCCCTGCCCCGCCCCACATCATGTTGAAGCAGATCCAGGCAGCACATGACCTCATCTGTCAGTGTTCCAGTGCACCTTTCAGAACAAGGACTTCTGTGCGTGGCCCCGATGTCATCATCTCAGCCTCCAGGCGCTGTTCCTGGTGCCGACTGTCACATGTGGTGGGAACATCTGTGTGCCAGGATCAGAGGACGCCACTTGCTGGAATTTGCTGGCACGTTTAAACAAGTTCATTCTCTTGTTCTTTTTTTTGTTAAATCATGTTGCTTGAGTCATTCTTTTGTTCTTTTTTCTTATAATTTATTTGACAAAGAAAAGAGACCATTTGTTCTATGGGGCTTCCCATCATCTGAGTCTCCTGCTGCCTGTAACCCTGTGGGGTGGGGTGTATAATGTGCTCCTCTGGCCCCATGTTTCCTTCCAGGTGGAGGTGGGGTCTGTGGGCCTCATCACATGTGGACAAGTTTGTGTGACTGCTAAGTGGACAGTGGTGGCTCTTCCCTGGGGAAACAGGTATAGCAGGAGCAACTGTGGGACTGCAAGGTCTCAACAAACTCATTCTGTCATTCCTCCTTCATTCATTTGCTGGCTTTTTTTTTTCAAGACAGAATCTTGCTCTGTCATCCAAGCTAGAGTGCAGTGGTACAATCATAGCTCACTATAACCTCGACCTCGTGGGCTCAAGCGATTCTCCCACTGCAGCCTCCCAAAGTGCTAAGATTATAGGTGTGTGCCACCACCCCCAGCCTTACTGGAATATTTCTTTCAGCAGAAACTCATCTGCTCTGTGATTACCCTGGGTTAGACTTTGTGTTGGAAAGGCAGAATAAAGGTTTAGTTCTTTCATCTTTTACTGGTTGGGTCGCTAGTGTCTTCCCATGGTAGCTAGTTTGTTCTGGTTTGTTTTTAGTGTCATTATGAACTCCTGGGTTTGAACTGTTTCATGCGTTCTCGTTGCTGCAGTTACCATCCTCAGTGATGCTTGCACATTCGCACTGCTGCCTTGATGGCCTTTTCAGCCAGGCTCCTGCAGCTGTGGCATGACCCTCACTGCCCCAGTTATCTCCTCCTGTTCGGTAGTCCTGGCCCAAGACCGGGGACCAGCCGCTGCGTCAGGGAGGCCTGGTTCCCTCAGTGGGTTTTGGTGATTCAGGAAGCCCTGGGGCCTCACACACTCAGTGCCTGGGTGGTCACTGTCGCCCGGCCTACCCAAGGACAGAACTGGGAGAGATACGAGCAGAGACGTGTCCGGTGCACACTGAGCTTCCACCCGGGCTCTGAGCTGCAGGCACTGTTGACCCTCATCTCCTCCACCCTGCAAGCCCCAGAGACAGGCTGTTGAGAATGACTCCCTCGCCTTGCTGCTCCCCCTGGCATGGGCAGCCCCAGAGCAGTGCCCACCCCAACAGGAGCAGCCACTGCAAATCAGATTTGTCCCCAGTTCTCCTCTTCCTGACATGTTCTTGAGGTCACTGGGTCAGGCCCCAGTCATTTGTGCCACGGACTGTAAACACACCTACGTCTGCTTATGGCATTTTATGTTCAATGTTTAGGGGGGCTTGAAAAATTAAGTTCTAAGGCCGGGCGCAGTGGCTCAAGCCTGTAATCCCAGCACTTTGGGAGGCCGAAGCAAGAGGATTGCCTGAATTCAGGTGTTCGAGACCAGCCTGGACAACTTGGTAAGACCTCATCCCTACAATAAATTTTTAAAAAAGCCAGGCGTGGTAGCACGTGCCTGTAGTTCCAACTACTTAGAAGGCTGAGGCAGAAGGATCGCCTGAGCCCAGCAGGTTGAGGCTGTGGTGACTGTAAGCGTGCCACTGCACTTCAACCTGGGCAACAGAGTGAGACTCTGACTTAAAAAATAAAAAAGAAGGCCAGGCTCGGTGGCTCAGCCTGTAATCCTAGCACTTTGGGAGGCCAAAGGGAGTGGATTGCCCAAGTCCGCGGGTTCGAGACCAACCCGGGCAACTTGGCGAGCCCTCCTCTCTACAATAAATCAAAAATTAGCTGAGCATGGTAGTGCAGACCTGCAGTCCCGGCTACTTGGAAGGCTGAGGCAGAAGGATCGCCAGAGCCCAGCAGGTCGAGGCTGTGGTGTCCGTGAGTGTGCCAGTGCATTCCAGCCTGGGCAACAGAGTGAGACTCCAACTCAGAAAAAATAAAATCAATAAATTTTAAAAAAAGAAAAATTAAGTTCTAAAATTATGGAAGGTAATGTTTCCAAGTCTATAAAATCAGGCGTCTTTGAAGAACCCCAGCCAGAAGCCACCGTCCCTGTCCCCGACTGCCCACCTCACCAGGAGGACTGATGTGTCCTGGGCATGGCCTTCCTTCTTTTTCCAAATGCAAGCACAGGCGCGCTCTCTTCCTGGTTGCCGGTCAGGACAGAGGAGCCGCGTCCTTGTTCGCCTTGCCTCCTTTCTGACTCCTCCATGTGGCCCCACGGCCCCTCCTTTTGCTGGCTGTTGTCTGTTGGTTTCCTGCTGGCTGCAGCGCTCCATGAGCTGGTGGCCTCCTTCCTTCCTCCCCGCCCTGTCCCTGCCTCTGGTTTGGATTGATGTCCTCATACATTAGAGCCCGTGAGGCAGTCAACAGACTCAGCCTACTGGCCGTCTGCCTCCTCATGTTGTAGTTATCGACACTGCGGACAAGACAGACACCCACTCGGTGCTGCACGGTCTCCTTGGACCTGGAGTCCACGCTCACTTCAGCAGCTGGCAGACATGCTCCATAGCTGGGGGTGAGGCCCTGTGTTCTTTTGGGCTGTCCCCACGGACCACTCTCAGCGCAGCCCCACCCCTGGCCTCTCGGCTCCCTACTGCAAAGCCAGCAGAAAACGCTGCTGCTCCAGCCTGCTGAGACGAGTCCTCAAGGGAGTGAGTCTCCCGTCACCTGTGCCATGCTCTGCTGGCTCGACACAAGTCACAGGGCAGGGGTCACACGAGAGCGTGACTCACGGGCTCACCTGGGTGTGCGTCTCAGCCTCCGTAGTCCCGCCCACCTCTCCCTCCCTTGGGGTGGCTTCTGATCCAGGTGGTCGGAGCGCTTTGTGGCAGGAGGCTGTTTCTCACCGCCCTGGAAGTTGCTAGGTGGCTAAACGGCTCCAGGTCCCAGGGTTCTGGCCTGTGAGTTCCCATGCCTTCTGTTCTGGCTGGGCCCGTTGATCCGTTCTCCCTCCATCTCCAATCCTCTGTTCGGTGAGTCTTTCTAATGTTGTACTTTTCACTTCTAGAATTTGTATTTGGCTGGGTTTTTTGTTTGTTGTTTTTGGTTTTTTTTTTTTGAGTTGGAGTCTCACTCTGTCGCCCAGACTGGAGTGCAGTGGCTGCTCCCGGCCACCGCAGCCTCGACCTGCTGGGCGCTGGCGATCCTTCCGTCTCAGCCTTCCAAGTAGCTGGAACTACAGGCGCACGCTACCACACCCAGCTAATTTTTTTGATTTATTGTAGAGATGAGGTCTCTCCAAGTTGCCCGGGCGGGTCTCGAACCCGTGGACTCAGGCAATCCACTCACCTCAGCCTCTGGCTGGGTTTTTTTTTTTAACAGATTCCATGTCTCTACCAAGATGTACCCTCTCATCACTCCTAAGGTCATCTTTCTAGCAGCTTTGTGGAGAAATGATCTATACACCATATACTTTGCCATTGGAAGTGGGCACATCAGTGGCTTAGTATATTCAGAGTTGTGTGACATCAGCATGATGCTGGCACTTTTTCATCACCCCAAAGAAAACCCCACACTGCTTACCTGCCACCCCATTTTCTCCAAGGTCCTGGCAACCCCTAGCCTAGTCTTTGTCTCAATGTATGTGCCTAGTCTGGACACTGTATGGGAGCAGTGTCCTGCGATGTGCGGCCTTTTGTGTGTGGCATCTTTCCCCCTGGTGTGGTGTGTTCAGGGCCTGGCACGTTCTAGCGTAGCCAGCAGGACTCCCCTGGCCGAAAGATGTTCAGACCATCTTTATCTGCGACTTTGCACTTCCTGAAATACCTGCTGTGAAGTCCTGTGTGTCCCTTCTGGCATCTGGATTTGTGAATAGTGTGGAGCAGGGTCAGCGGGGAAAGGGGATGCCCACGTGACAGTCTCAAGGGAGTCAAGATGCACGACTCTCGGGAGATGATAGAGAGAAAGCATTGTGACTTCAGAGCAGGAGGAATTTTCTTAAACAGGAGGCAGAAGGCTTGAACCTTGATGGAGTATGTTGGTAAGTTCAATTATGTTACAAGTAAGAACCTCTGGGTGTTGAGTTTTGTTTTCATGAGATGAACAGAGTCTGGAGAGTGGTTCGCAGCAGACTGAACATGCTTAGGGCTGCCGAGCTGTGTACTTTAAAAATTAGCATTTTAGGCCGGGTTTGGTGGCTCAGCCTTTAATCCTAGCACTTTGGGAGGCCGAGGTGAGTAAATTGCCTGAGCCCGTGGGTTCGAGACCAGCCCAGGCAACTTGGCAAGACCTCATCTCTACAATAAATCCAAAGATCAGCCGGGCGTGGTATCATGCACTTGTAGTTCCAGCTACTTGGAAGGCTGAGGGGGAAGGATCACCGGAGCCCAGCAAGTCGACGCTGGGGTGACTGTGAGTGTGCCACTGCACTCCAGCCTGGGTGACAGAGTGAGACTCCAACTCAAAAAAAAATTAGCATTTTAGGCCAGGCATAGTGGCTCATACCTATAATCCCAGCACTTTGGGAGGCTGAGGTGAGAGGATTGCCTGAGCCCACAAGTTCAAGACCAGCCTAAACGACTTGATGAGACCTGATCTCTACAATAAGTCAAAAAATTTGCCAGGTGTGGTGGCACACACCTGTAGTTCCAACTACTTGGAAGGCTGATAAGGTGGAACAATCAATTGAGCCCAGCAGGTCTAGGCTGCGGTGGCCGTGAGCATGCTACTGCACTCCGGCCTGGGTGACAGAGTGAGACTCTGACTCAAAAAAAAAAATTAGCATTCTATAATGAAACAATTAAGCTTTAGAATTAAGAACCTTCTCCATCAAAGGCTGTCATCAGCTGAGAAAAGGCCATGTCGGAAGTAAAAGAGTGTTGTCCACAGTGAGTGGCTGGCAAGCCCAGTGCCCGCCTCCCACTGCGTGCTGAGAACAGGCTGCCCAAAGAGTGGCCAGCGCCCATAGGAGACGCCCAGGAGGCACTGGCAGAGCCACGTAGTGAGGAGCGGTCGGGCTCTCAACATGTTGTGGAGGTAGAGCCCAAGGGCTTGCTGGCAAAGTCCCCGCCTCGTGGTGAGGGGCAGAGGTCAGGAACCCGGGAGGTCAGGCACGCAGACTGCCCAGGCTGCTCCGGGTACAATGCAGGTCTGTCTACTTGTACGTGGATTCAAGGTCATGAGTCCAGATGAGCTCTGCCAAAAAGTGGTGTAGACAGCGAAGAGGAGTGGGGTTGTGCTCGGGCGGGCGAGGAGGAAGGGGAGCCAGCAGCGCCTCGAACGGAGGCGAGGAGAAGAGCACGGTGGGGGGCTGCCCGCCACCACCACTGGCTCTCACGCCTGCACTGACCTGCAGGGCAGCCAGGTGACCCTGCCAGCCCTTCCTGGCACACAGGCACATCTGGAGGCCACCACAGTCGCTGCTTTTCGGCTCAGCCTTGTTCCTGCATCTGACCCTAGCAGGCTAGCCTTGGCGTGGTGTTCGCATGGCAGTGGCAGATGGACAAACCCAGGTGCACGAGTTCGTGCCAGCCATAGCAGCCTTTTGCCTTGCTACGTGGGCCACTGGCCAAAGTAAACCACAGCCGCCCAGATTCCAAGGGAGGAAGACTCCACCTCTGTCCTGGGATGGGGCAATTGAAACCTCCAGGGCAGGCTGTCTCCTGCCACAAGGGAAGAGGGTCAGGTCACATGAGAGAAATCACCGTAGCTTTGGGGAAAGGAGGGTCACCAGTGGACAGGAGAGACCAGGGCCCAGGCCTGCCTGGAGCGGCTAAAGCGAGATGGCGGGGCTGGCCAGGGAAGCCGGGGTTGTGTGAGCCAAGGGCTGCTGAGAGGGTGCAGGGAGCAGGCGCCGGGCCCTGTGGAGGCGGTGTCCACAGAGAGCGGAGGGACATGGGGCCTCATCCCTGGGGGTCTTGTTTAAATAGGGAGAGGCTGGCCCAGCCCAGACGTCCAGGAGCCTCGCGGTGACATCTCACAGTGGGAGCAGTGAGCTCACGTCCCCATACGGACCCGCAGGGGCCCTGGAGGGAAGCTACGGAGGGAGCTCTTCTCTTCGGGGCTGTGCCCGGGGAGGTGCCTGTGGGCCTGGGACGCATCCAGCAGCCTTCCACTTCTTACCGTTAACCCGCACACTCCCGCATGAGAAACAGCTCTCCTGTCGTGCTGGGCAGAGCATGAGGGGTTGGCTTGCAGGTCCTGGGGCTTGGTGGCTCCCGGAGTACGCCCTGCGCAGAGGCCACCCGGGCGCCACCCAA